CCCCTCCTTAAGTGAATACGCCTAAGACTGAATACAAAAAAATCTATATTTTTAGAATTTTGATTCAAATTTCTTAGCGTTAATGGCAATTTCGATAGAGAATCTAAGTATTATTGCAGACTAAAATGGTTATTTCTTGATTTTTAAAAAATGGTTATTATGACGTTTTTAAAGAATCGGACTAGATTTTTTGATACTGGGATTTGACAGTACATGAATAAATCTTATAAAAATAAATTGAAAATTTTATAATTTTCCGATCTAGTGATTTACTTGTTTAAATTCTTCTTAGTTTGTGTTTGTTACCGGGGCCTCCTGGAATTTCCGTTTCCTAAAAAAATAATTTAAAATAAAACTTGAAATTATTTTTTCCCTCTTATTTGTCAGTACGGGGCTGTGGGAACAATTTCGATTATCAACTTCCCAAAGATATTTTTCCAAGTGGCAACTTCCCAAATGTGCAATTTCCCAATTGTCTCTACCAAGGATTGTAAGGCAAGGAAAGTTATTTCAGAAGTGTACACATCTTTTGTACTGCAGTGTACTATCTCTGGGCGGTAATGTAAACACAAGACGGATTTCGAAGCCTAAAATGGGATCCATGGGGGGTCTCTAGGTAATTACCCAATCCTTTAATACACATTCTTACACTTAGTTGCTTCGAGTCCAACTTGAATGGTGAATATTTCACAAATCCTGCTGAAAATGGATACTATCGAGGCATTATTTGGGAACTGTGGCTAGGTGACTATTCTCTAAGAAAATCGACAATGATGATAAGGTAATGTTTAAAAATAATGAATCTATAAACTACCCTGGTAGACGCAAAAATAAGTTTTGATAAGAAAATTTTCCTAAATATAGATAAAAGGAAAATTTACATGAAAAGAATTTGAGTATTTGCCACAAACTCAAATTTTTAAATCCCCATATCTTGGCAAGCTGATGGTGGAAAACCTTGATACTTGAACCTTAAAATATTTGATCTAACATATTTCATAGTTTAATATATATAAGGTCGACGACATCCATGAGTTGCAAATATATAGGTGGTAGAAAATCTGAGTTTGAGGCACAGACTCATAACTTTTTTTTGGATAAACTATTTATGTCCCATGCAGATCCCATTAAGAATAGGGCAAGTAACGGAGCTCAAACCTGTTTATATTGTATTTTAAACTACTGGTTGATTGTTAACATTTTTTCCATTTCTGCACTTAAGAACACTTGACATATTGATGATGGATTTCCTAATTTCAATGTTGATTATCTATTTTGAAAAATCAATAGTTTTGTTTTAGACCTAGAGATTTCGATGCCGGAACCCACCAGCCCGTTCCGCCGGATCCATAGCAGCCAACAGGGCCAACCTTCCAGGTAGTGATGTGCATTCCGTTTTAGATGGTATTTAGAAAACTTTTATTAAAATGTCCAACATTTCAAAACTGCAACAAGTTAAATTTTTTTCTTCAAATTTTGGAATAATTCTATCCTAAAAAATTTGAAAAACTTTCCGAAAACATGATCGTTTTTGGTTTGTTTTTTTGCCTATCAAGGTCAAAATTTGGCCTGATGAAAAAAATAGCATATGTTTAGAATACACAATTGCTTTCCTTTTACTATGCCAAAGGAATTGAGTTTTTCCCACATAATATAATCCTTGAATCTTTCCAACAAAATATCAAATCCTGATAGATCAAATAATCAAAGTTTGAAATAACGAAGGTAGTAAATATGTATTATGTAGGGGTTAAAAACTTTTAATTTGTAGCAAAGACTCAAATCCTTTGGAGCCTGAAAGAAAACGGTCCCAAAACGAGATAAAACAACGCAATACACATCTCTACTTCCAGGGCATAAGCACAGCTTCAATAACTGAACCTTCAGGAGGCACAACCACTAGGAATACTGTTCCCTGGGTGGAAGGAACAGAGGTGAACTATGCTGCTGCCCACAAGGGAGGAGGCAGGACTAAGGAACCAATGCCTGGCCCTCACAATCGGAAAACTGATCATGATGATGCTTATTTATATGACTCCCACGTAGTGAATGCTAGGGATAGTGGAGCCGCACACCAAACTTCTCATTTATTTATGATAGTTGCCACTAGTCTTCTTATAGAAGCTTTTATTATCAGTATATAATAGGACCTAGTTCTGGAAAGATCAGTATTGTATCTTGCTTGAGCTAACACAGATCATGCATAATCTGGAAAAATTAAAATAATAAAAAACAGTTAAAGATAGCTTTGTTATAATTTATGTATTGTGAAATCAAGTAAAATAATAAATACAATTTTATCACATATTATCAAAGATTAAGTAGCAAAGGAATTTTAATAAAAATATTAATAACAATGATCAAATTAAATCAAAATATAACAACTAAATTTTAAGTAAAATAGAATCAAAAAGTTAACTTGTAATTGCAAAAAAGACGACTAGATGAGAACAAGTTAGGAAATAATGCTGAATACGTATTCTGTTGAAATATTGAGTAGTAAGTAGTCTTATCGAATATAAATTTTTCTGTTATATGGTTAATATATATTATTTCATGATCCCAAACTATTCAGTATGCACGTTAATTAACAAAACATCGATTGATTTAACAGTAATCAGGTAATCTTGTAATAGAAAAAAATAAATTGTTTCAATATTGAATTTAAAAGATCCAAAATTACTAATTTAGTGTTATTTTGTGGAAAAGGTGTCAATTTTCAAAATATACTTGATAGTTGAAGGTTGAGCGATATTTTAATCTTTAAAGCTTTCTTTTCTTTAGTTACGATTATTGCAAGAACTAAAAGTCAATTTTTTGGCGGACCAAAAATATCAATACTGATGATTTTAATGTTTAATCATAATCAAAAACAAAATCAAATTAACAATTATTTTCCATAAATCTATTAGATATCTTTGATATCTACCCGAATACTCTGATATCTACCAGAATAATATGATATCTACCCGAATACTCTGATATCTACCAGAATACTCTGATATCTACCAGAATAATCTTATATCTACCAAAATATTCTTATATCTAGCAGAAAACTCTTGATATCTACCCGAATACTCTGATATCTACCAGAATACTCTGATATCTACCAGAATACTCTGATATCTACCGGAGTACTCGGATATCTACCAGAATAATCTGATATTTACTAGAATATCTGATATCTACCAGAATACTTTGATATCTACCCGAATACTCTGATATCTACCAGAATACTCTGATATCTACCAGAATACTCTGATATGTACCAGAATACTCTGATATCTACCAGAGTACTCTGATATCTACCAGAATAATCTTATATCTACCAAAATATTCTTATATCTAGCAGAAAACTCTTATATCTGGCAGAAACTCTTTTATCTTCCAGTATATCTGATATCTTACAGATTACTCTGATATCTACCAGATTACTCTGATATCTACCAGAATATTTCTGATATCTACCAGAATAATATGATATCTACCAGAAAAATCTAATATCTAACAGAAAAATCGGATATCAAACAGAAAAATCTTATGTCTACCAGAATGTTGTTCCTCCAGACCCGGTGCCACTCAAAAAAGTTTCCTTTTAAAATTAGAAATAGCATAATTGGTTTCCTTAGAGTGGTAATGAGAAGTTTGTATTTCAGAGTGGGGATTTTAAAAGCTTAAACCCGAGTTTAAACCAGACTTTATCTCCTATTAAAGCCCAAATAAATACCAATTGAAGATGTTTTGCTGACTTGGCTTGAATTAAAGCCATATACATTTCAAACCTCAGGAATTAGTGTCAAAATTGGCTAGATTTATAAAATAAACACACTCTGGAATAATTTTCGAAATTTATTGAGGAAAGCTTAATCTATCAGCTGATTATACATACAGATCTTTGAAACTATCTCTCATAGGTATAATCTGTACCAAGCAGAATCCAGCCAAAGACTCGAGCCTCCACAAGCCCTTACGCTTACTAAGGTCTGGCTTAACTTTTAAAATATAAGCTCTGGAGTCAGTCTTGCAAATTAATAAATTAAAAAGAACTTTGATCTCAAATTAACTTTTCATGAAGTGAATGAATCTTAAAATATTACTTGTTTAATATAAAACGCTTTTCCCCCAAACATTCATTTTATTTTCCGAGAAAATCACGTTCTCTTCTTAAAACTCATATTTTCTTTTCCCCTAAAAGAAAGAAACAATTCAGGCTAAGTTAAGGGGAAATTTATAGATGGAGAATGGGGGCAGGGCAGGAAATTACGTATCACAAATTTGTACAAAACTTGCTAATTCTTCCTGCCTTTTTTTGAGTCATTACCACAGTTCCGCCCTTCATAGCAGCCAACTAAATATGTACATTTAGTTTCTTTGCACATTTTTGTAATTGTTATCTCACAGAAAAAAAGACTTGATAATATTATCTTTTAAGTCTTTTTTTTTCATTTCTTGTTGACATAATTTTTAAAGTTATTGTATATATTTCTTTATAAAAATCAATTTTAAAGAAGAAAACGGTTCAATTCAACTAGTTGGATTTTTTTTTTCAACTTCGAAATTTAAAATGTAAGATACATGAAAAACCTTACCGCTACATTACCCAATTTTCTTAATAATCCCTTTATGCACCTGAGCAGGAGTAGGTGGTACTCCAGGGGGTGGTGGAGGAAGGGAGGGAGGAGAGGTCTTATTGAATCTAGCTCCCGCATCGAATTGAGCATGAACAACACCAACAGCTGGTGCTACCTGGAATAAAAAAAACATGAGGAGTGGGATGGGTATCGTTTTTTCTCAAAAAGATTGGTTGATGTGACAATTTTGGTGATCGTTTTGCTTTAAAAATTGAAACTCTTTATGTTTAAAAACGATCGTTTTGAAATTTTCAAAACGGAACACGATTGAAAAGGCAAAACGAGTTAAAAAAAAACGAAAGCTTCAGTCCCTAGAGAGGAGTAGGAGGATACTAGAAGAATACAAACCTTCAACTAGAACTCTGAACCTTGCACCTTTAACCAATGAACCTTGAACCCTGAACCCATGAACCTTGAATCCCGAACCTATGAACCTAGAACTTTGAACCTTGAACCTTGAACCTTGATCCTTGAACCTTGAACCTTGAACCTTGAACCTAGAACCCTGAACCTAGAACCTAGAACCTAGAACCTAGAACCTAGAACCTTGAACCCTGAACCTTGACCCTTGAACCTAGGATCTAGAACCTTGAACCCTGAACTTAGAATCTAGAACCTTGAACCCTGAACCCTGAACCCTGAACCCTGAACCTTGAACCTTGAACCTTGAACCTTGAACCTTGAACCTTGAACCTTGAACCCTGAACCTAGAACCTTGAACCTTGAACCTAGAACCTTGAACTTCAACTACAGGACAGACAACTTTGACTTTAAAATTATTTTAAAAATTTTTGAGTTTCAAAAAGAAAATTTGTTTCTAATCGGGCAGAAAGTTAATGACGGAATTTCGGGTTTTTTTTGCCAAGTTTTACATTGAAATGGTTACTATGGCAAGCAGTGCAAATTGATTGCACTATTGATTTCAGTATGTGCTGCTACCTCAGGAAAAGCGGCAGCATGCTGCTTTAAATACTTCTGCTGATACATTTGCTGCTCAATACATCCTAAACAAAAAACATCTTATAATATCAGAGCTTCAATTTATTAAAACACTAGGTGTCCAATTTTTCTCTGCCACTAGGAAAAACCGCCATTTTGAAAATTAGACAAATCAAAACAAAACTAAGTCTTGTAAGAGATGGACTATGGGGCCACCATAAAAAAACTTGATTTTAGAAGGACTTATCAATTTATCGTTGTACCTGTGGCTTTGTACAGTAAAGTTTATTAATATGTTTGCCTGTTCCAGGAACATACCAAGGAGTTTATCCATAGGGGACTTAATTTGTTTTTCTTACTAGGGGGGAAAACTCAGCACCCATTGGGACCCAAAACCCCCTGAAAACTATAGATTTCACTTAACCAGGGGGGGGGCTGAGTACACATAGCCCCCTCCTGGATATGGCTCTGGCCTGTACCTGTGTACTGTACTGTTGATGATGAACCATCAGTAAGATTATTACTGTACGCTGGAGGGGCCTCATTTTCCTGAAGTACGAAACTAGTTATTTTATTACATTAATTGAATATAACATTTAAACCTTCTGTACTATAGCTGTTCAGATTTCCCTACCATGCCTTAATTTCGCTGGCATCTTTTGGGAAATGATTAATATTTGTAAAAATAAATTTTTTGAGCAACAATTTTCAAAAGGTTAGAAGTCTCATTTTTTCCCCTATGAACCTAGAAAATGCATTTTTTCTCATTTAGAGTAAAAAGCGAATCTTTTTATGAACACCAAGAACAAATATATACGTTTCCCAAAGAAAGGTTCTTGGTTCAGAAAGTTCCTCTATTTTAATATTCGCCAAAAAATTTTCAAGTTTAGAACAGTTAAACCGATTTCCTTAATTATTTTTTAGCTACGTCAATGCAAGTTTTCTCAACGTTTTCATTACCCAGTATGCTGGTGCACTAGCACTAGTAGTATGTCCGTCTAGGGAGTAGGCTGGCGGGGGTCCTGCAGGGGGTGGTGGATACGCCCCTCCTGCAGCTGGCGGAGGATACGCCCCTCCGCCAAAATGGGCTGGATTCTCAACCGGCGGATTCTCTTTTTCATTTTTACTTTTGTTTGGTGTGTTCCCCATACTCATCTGAAAATATTGATTTAAATTTTACAAATTGTAAATATAACATATTTAAAAATGTATAAATTTTAATTTACTAAAATTACATAGTGTATTTTTTTTGATTTTTAAACCCTGCTTTTCATCTACAGTTAAATTATTTTTAAAATGATAAAAATAGCACATATGTGATAATCATAATATATTTATTAATCACAGGAACAAGTAACTAGCTAGTGATCCGTAAGTTTTAAGTAATACTGAATTTAACATTTTTATATAAAACTAGCTTAGGAACCCTGCGTTGCCCAGGACACTCGATACTCATAGTTACTCCCGCCGTTTACCCGCACTTGGTCGTAGATTACGATTTTAGCTGATACGATAAAAGTTAACCCACTCAACTAAGAATCTCAACACCAAGCCTATCCCTGCGGTTCTCCCGAGTTTTCCAATCAAAATTTGAGTCAAATCAGTCCAGGGGTTTCTGAGTTATGATCGGACAAACAAACGAACAAACAGACAGAGATTACAACTTTATATGCATATATTGATAACGAGATAGTTGACAACTAAGTTAAATTTAAAATAAATCTTTATTAAATAAAAGATTTTAGTTTTTATTTATTTCAACTTTTGAGAACTTTTTAAATAACCAATAAAATTCCACTAAATAACTTCCTATCATGACTGAGGTGGCCAAATTTTTTTTAAGGGGGGGCTCAAAAACCACGTGAAAGCCATAGATTTCAATGATCACGGCCCTCAGCCTGTTCTAGCCGCGGCGCTCGGCCCCTTAGCCCATACTAGCCGTAGCGCTCACCCCCCCCCCCATTGCAGCTTGCGACGCCTCAGAGAGCCTAACCTAACCTTTGGGAAGTTGCCATTTGGGAAACTGCACATTAGGGAAGTTGCCATTTGGGAAAATACCCTTGGGAAGTTGCCACTTGTAAAAAATCCTTGAGAACGATGGATACGGATGATGACATAAAGCATGAAACATTGTGGTTATGAATAAAATGTTATAAAAAGATTGGTGTATTGTTACTTACATAAATGGATATAGATAATTTCTAGATAAAATGGGATAACTGAAATATTATTATTAAAGGACAACCCATCATTCAATGAAATAGGGGTCGGCGCTCCTAACCGCCGAAACAACTTATCCACGGGGTTTACACCCTGGGGAGAAGACTTATACTAGGTGATCCGCCCAGGAAAAAAATCTATTTTTATTCAAAACCTCGTTCACTTTTTCATTTACAGTCTCTGTATTAACCCCCTTATCTTAAAGGGACTATGATTGTAATTTTAAGTGACCATCCAGGCAATTTAAACGGTACTCTTGAAACCTTAGTCTTAGATTGTAGATACTGGCGTTTTTCTGGCTTGAAAAGTATTTATTTCTGTCAGTTTCTCCATAAAGACACAAGAAATATTTAGCGTGGTTTTTCCATTGATTCGTATAAACAAGAATTGCACCAGTCACTTTCAGAGAGAAACCACAAATGAAAATAAACAGTTACATTAAACATAAGCCATTGCTATCTAATTCATATTTGATCACTGATCAGTGTCAGGCATTGCTATCAAGGGTACTGTTGTTAATCGGACAGTGCAATCTTTGCATGGAGGGTCACTTGGAATTACGCTTGCATTCAATTTAACCATCTGTTTTACCGTAATATCTTGAGCATAGCTTTAAGGAAGGCCTCCTTCTGTTCGTCCATCATGTTGATGTGTACCGACCCGCTGGACAGGATCAGCTTCCCTGCGTCGGAAACCATCTTCCTCGTTACTGGATCCAATTCATCTAAAAAAGTCTTTATTTTTATATCTCAAAATATATTATAGATTAGATTGATATACATATATTAAATAAACAGCTCACCGATGGCGACCAAATTAGAAATTCAAAAATCTTAAAATTATATTTTAGATATCTCTCTAGCTATGGGGGCAGAAAATCTGCGAAATCTTAAAGGGAGTGACTGGCAATTTATGGTAGTTGATCTGAGCTGGGAACTTTAGAATGGTGATATTGGGATTAATGCTTAATCCACTCTTTTTCTTAATCTCCAGATTAAATATTGCTTGTTGTCCTCATGAATTTAATCTCCAGATTAATTGACAGATCGGGATTAAGGATATCCCATTCTTAAGTTTTCAGTTCTGAGATTACAATATAATTGAAAAAAAATGTAGGATTTATTCGAGACATATCAGGCGTTTTAACGGTGAATTCTTCTTCAGGAAGGGCGCAAATTCAATATTTAAATTCCTCATTAATTGCCCAATTTGAAGGGATGATTTTGAGAATCAGTTTTATAAAAATTATTCAAAAACGACGAAGAAAGATGTGACATGATTTCTTAAAAATACTGCAATCTTACTTCAACTACTTTAGATTGTCGGCCACTCCCTTTAAATGGCGGCTTGAAAAGCATCATTTTAACTTTTTAAGGAAACAACATAAAAAAATGAACAATGTAATATAAACAAGAAAAGTAAAAATTCCTTGAAAAAACATTATTTCTGAGTATTTGGTTGGTTAATTACCACAATACCATAGTTTTGATGATAAAAACTAGAAAATAAAGAACACGTATGTTTTGATTATTTTTTGATTTTCATAAAGAATTTTTCGAAGTTTTTAAAAAAAGTTAAACCTCCTGAAAAGTTCCTAGATTTCTTAGTTGGAGATGGAGTTTGTTGACCGGTCTGTGACTGATCAAGGTTTGTGTTCAAGTTCTCCTCAACCTCCTCCACCCTCTCCTCCTTCTCATCCACCTTCTCATCCTCCTCCAGGGGTTCCTCAACATCAAGGAGCTCCTCGGGAATCGGTAATCTATAAATACAGATCAATTAAATGTTATTTACAGATAAATATTTACAGTTCTATTACAGATTTTAAAAAAATCGATTTCAAAATTATAAAAAGACAGTATAACATTAATTATCTTCTTTGAATCTATCTAAATATAAATATCCTTTGATTTCATTATACAAAGTAGTAATATTTGTCATAAATCATGAACTTCTTGACTGATTTGCCTCAAATTTTGACTGGGGAACCACGGGAACGTTCTTTGATAAAAATTATGATTTTAGTGGGTCGACTCGAGGAATTTCAGTTTACAGGCAAAGCTCGGTTCCCAAGCTTGTCTTATATTACCTGTTTGCTTGGTAGAGTATCTTAATGGTGATTTTCTCCTCCCTACTCAAATCCATGCAGAGCTGATGGATCGGGTTTCTCGGAGTCTTCGGAGGAGCTGAACACTCGTCCTGGGGCATAGGTTCATCCTAACAAGTGTTTATATACAGGGGTGTATATTTATAGAATTTTTAATGATTTTGGGGAAAATAAAAAGTTGGACGTAACATGGAAACTTTTTTCATTCTTTTTAATATGTTTTACCCCATAAAATATCAATTTTTCCCTATAAATCATTTATTTCCCCCAATTCAGCAAATAAACCCTAAACAAATTAAAATAAAAAGGCATACATAACTTATTGGGGAAAAAAATGTTTTCAAAAGGGGGAGGGGGGAATATTTTTTTTTTCGAGAAAATATACTCCCCTGTTTATTTATAAACCTGAGTCGAGGGCAAAATATTTTAGACTGAATTTTTACTTCTTTTAGATTTTAGATAAGCTTTGTCAGATTTAAAATCCATTTGGCCACTTCAATGAAAATTCACAAATTTCTCTTTATTGCTTAGAGGTGGACCCGGTATTTCAAATTAACAAGAGTTTCCAGTGAAGTCCCCTCCTCCCCCCTGTTGAAAAAACCTTTAGATGCGCCTAGAGAAACCAACCTGTTGTGTAAGGGTAGAGAAACCAACCTGTTGTGTAAAGGTAGAGAAACCAACCTGTTGTGTAAGGGTAGAGAAACCAACCTGTTGTGTAAGGGTGAGCTGGTTGATAGAGAAACCAACCTGTTGTGTAAGGGTGAGCTGGTTGATAGAGAAACCAACCTGTTGTGTAAGGGTGAGCTGGTTGATAGAGAAACCAACCTGTCGTGTAAGGGTGAGTTGGTTGATTGAAGGAAGCATAAAGTTCTGATAATTATTCCCTAATCCCTGGTTCAAGTTTGATCCTCTCTGCCCGCAATTCGGATCTAATCTTGTGCCACCAGATTTATTCAATCTTGTGTCGTCAGTGTAGCCTACTCTTGTCTTCTTTGCAATATGTTCTAATCTTGTCTCTTCTAGGTGTAAGTTATCAGATCTTGGTTCGATATGTTCTAATGTAGTCTCTTCTAGGTTTAAGTTATCAGATCTTGGTTCGATATTAGTTAAATTCTCAGGTTTCTCAGGTTGCAAGTTAACAAGGAAAAATTCGTCACGTTTAACCGACCCGGATGGGTATTCTTTACTATACTCTTCGAATTCATCCGGCTCGGGATCATCCGGATCCTGGTCCATGTTCTCCGGATTCAGATCTCCTGCTAAAGGATCGACTAAGGGATCGGCTTGGCGATCGTCTGAAGGGGATCGAGGGTTAGAATGAATTGTGGATTTGTGTTTTTTTAGTTCTTCTTGGCTGTTAAAAAATCTTGGGCAAGCATTGCATTCAAACTTCGCCACACTAACAAAACAAACAAACAATAATAAAATTGATAAAATTGTCAAGTTTCCATTTTACTTTTTTTTTCTTGTCCAATATTAAAATCTTGAATATTTGTTTCCTGTGTGTTTTCATGTGTCTTTCCAGAAACCGTTTACTCGTGAACTTACGGTTGCATGTATCACAAGCAAAGGACCCTGGCTGGGTGGGTCCATGAACCTGAATAAAACATAATAAATCTTTTTTCCATCTCATTATCTGAGTTAGTTTCCTTTTTGTCAATTTGACAGCCCAAATTTTTTTTAAATTAGTCTTTTTGTTTGTTCATTTTCTTGTGGTTTTTCACAAAAAAATGTATTTCTTTATCGATTTCGAAGGTTATTATACCGTTAAGATAAGATAAGGTAAGGGAGGATCTGAAGACCCCCCCATTTTGGAGAGCCCAGACCGCAATCGGGGCTAACTCCCATGAACTGACGAGGGTTCATCACCATCACCGAATTTTAAATATTAAATCTTTTTTTTAAGTTTGCCATTTATGTTCTGATATAGTTCTCATCAAAATATAAAGAAATAAAATTTTTTTGCAACTACTGTTAATTTATTCTTCTTTGTAAAAAGCGGTAAAGAAATCAACTCAAATCAAATCAAATCATGAGTGTTAGGGAAAGCTTTAGGCTCCACTCTACAGCTTGGAGTTTCAAGTCCTGACTGAGAGGTGGTTTTTCAGCCCGGATTTATTTAGTGTAAAATCGTTAATGAAACGAGTGTTTTAAATTAATCGGAATGATCCCAGCAACACGACCAAATTTGAGCCATGCAACCATTTTTTGACACAGATCTATTTTTCTCATTATTTTCAAATATTCTATATTTTTGTTGTTGTTGTAAAATTACCGTTTTCTTGTGGGCTTTCAGGTCAAACTTAGTATTTAAAGAGACTTTACAGTTTCCCAGTCGGCAGACATGCTTCTTCAAATCCCCGTGCATACACTTCATGTGCCGTCGGAAATTATTGCTGTCTGCAAACGTTTTCATGCAAATATCACATTGATGGTGAGTTTCCTCTGTATGAATATTCCTGTGTTCTTTCAAATGATAATTAGTTTTAAACGTTTTACTGCAAATATCACAAGAGAATGGACGTTCACCGGTATGGACAAGAATATGGCGCTTCAACTTTACAACCTAAAATAAATAATTTTAGACTAAAAATGATCAAATAGTGAACAAAGTTCTTGAAAACAAATGATTGTAAACGAAATTCAAAGTGATCCATCAGTTGATCAGATTCACAACGGTACTCTTTGAAACGTATGACTTATAAAGAAACCACGATTGAAATTTTTCTTTTACAACTAAACATTAAGGATATCTTTCTCAATCTGGGTCAGACAGGGGTTTAAAGGATACCGTTGTGAATCGGACATGCTTCTCTATACATGAAAGGTTTCTTAAGATAAGATTTGTATTTTTACCTGGAAGAAAGATTTTGAGCATGTATTGCACTTGAAAGGACGTTCTCCAGTGTGCTGTGATCTTGTATGATAAACAAGATGGGAGGAGGTCTTAAACTCACGGGAACAGATACTACACGTAAACCCAGTCTAAAATAAATAAAAATCTGTCTGATTTTATCTTCAAAAATCATTCTAGGATAAACTGAAAAAAATCAGTCTAATTTTATCTTAAAATATCAGTCTAGGATAAACTGAAAAAAATCAGTCTGGGGTAAATTTTACAAAATCTAAGATAAAAACCAGGAGTACTTTCTTGAACATAGGTTTTATAAATACCAAATACAGAATGTATAAAAATATTGAGAAACTCTTACATATTTATGGTGAAGGAAAAAAAATAATATAATAATATTAATGGCTAGGCTACAATAAACGACAGTTTAAACATCACCTCCTGCACACAATTCCGATGTCTGCGCAAAGCACCTTTCTTAAAATCCTGTGAAAAAAATACTTATCAATTTCGATAAAGATTTAGAAATATTTTAAACTTCTTGAATTTTGTCAAAATTCGTAACCTAAAAATACAAGAGTAACACGTTTGTTAACTAACTAGCTTTTATGACATTAAATGTATTATTGAAATGTATATCAGTCAAACTGATAAGAAGAAGTATTTAAAAAAAAGGTGAAAAAACAAATATTTTCCTTAGAACAGGTTGTGCAGTGAAACAAATTTCCAGCTTCGTTATCTCTGAAAATATATCAAAATGTTATATTTGAAACTATAGCACAATAAAAGTAGTCAAATTTTAAACAAAAACCGCCGCCACTCCCCCCCCCCCATCTTGACTTTTAAAATAAATCATAAAATTATGAAGATAGATGATTAAAACAGAACGATATCAAAAATGTTATGAACCTTTAAAAGAAAAAAATCCACCTTCACCAATTCACGCGTCTTTTTTTAACCAAATGTGTTTAGTTAAAATAATTGTTTTGAATTGTATATAAAATCTCGTAATCTCAAGTTAAAATGTGAAACTTTTTAGCTGTTATGGATACGACTCAACACGGAAATGGCTCAAAAAAGGGAATTAAAAAACTATCCGAATGTCACCTTCACTCAACTTAAAATTAAAAAGACTATTTTGTAAAATTTTCCACAGCAATTGTAGCAGCGCTCGGCCCCCTAGCCTTTCCTAGACGCAGCGCTCGGCACCCCCCACCGTAGCCTGCGGCGCAACCCAACCTAACCTAAATTAATGCTAAAAATAATTTTTTTTAAATTAAAATTTTTGTTCAAACTTAAGAGAAAACGACATAAAATTAGTTTTAAGAGTTTCTTTTTTGAGCCATTTCCGTGTTGAAGCGTTTCAATGTTGAGCCGTTTAGTGAGCATGGCATAAAAAATAACTGGTGAATGTGGACAAAGCCCCCATAAGTTATAGTTCGTAATTCGGAGAAGCAAAAAATTTGGAAAATGCGGGAATGTAAAATCTGTATTTGACCTGGATACTATATGGTCTGGGATAGCATCAGCAACGTCCAACGCATTCCTGATCTCGGAGAGGAAGTTTCTGCTCAGCTGTTTCCCGCGCTGTATTACCTCCTGTAAAGATCGAATTTTAAGTCATCTTTTGAAGGTAGTTTGTCATTAACAACTAATAGCGTATCAGTATAAAAGATGGAGTAAATTAGAACAATTCCGGACATTTGTTTGATCGTATGTTCTGCAAAAATTTAGTATGTGCTGCAAAAATCTAGTATGTGCTGCAAAGATCTAGTATGTGCTGCAAAGATCTAGTATGTGCTGCAAACATCTAGTATGTGCTGCAAAAATCTAGTATGTGCTGCAAAAATCTAGTATGTGCTGCAAAAATCTAGTATTCACTGCAAAAATCTAGTATGTGCTGCAAAAATCTGCAAACAAGACAAGGCCACAAAGAATAAAGTTTCAGAATTATTGACAAATTGTTCAAAAGGAACAGCTGTAAACTGTTAAAACACTCCTAAAAAGGGAGATCCTGTAAAACAAATAATTTAGTTGGAATTATTAAAGAAAACAAAAATGAAAACTTTTAGAACCTTTGCATGATTTTCTTGTTCAGGATTAATCTTCTTTTTTAAATCCGTTTTCTGAAAAGAAGGGCTGGATGTTTCTCGTCTTCTGCTCGGGGTATCACACAGAGAAATCTCACTGGATTCAGAAACCAATTATTAATAGAAAGATCTGACCAGTCATTAATGTACACTGTACACTGTACTGTACAGCGCTTCTACATGCGGCCTGGAATCCATCCAGGCTAATATGCACACTTTTTAGAATGGTTTAGGAATTTTGTTGTGGGGGGGGAAGGCTTTAAAACTATGGGAAGGGAGCTGAACCCTGCTTCTTGTTTCAAAAAAATTTACTTAGTCAAAATTCCCACACATTGTCTTACTTTCTTTTACAACAGTTTCTGAGATAATGTTTATCATATATTTATATATATGAAGGAGTTCAATGAATGATAACTTGAATAATAATGATACAAAGTGGTTGATCTGCCTGGATGAGGAGGGGGAGGAGGAGGAGTTGATGATGTTCCCGTCAACCCATTCGAACACCCTCTCCACCTTAACAGTATTTAGCTCTCCATCTTCTAACTCAGATCTAAAAAAACATTTTTTCTTCATATTTTCAACTCTTTACAATGAATTAAGAAGCAACATAGACAAAACAAAAAATATTATGAAATTCTCCAAAAACGTGATTATTAAGATAATATTGGTAATATTTGGGTATTTTGCATGGATTAAAAAAGCAATTCATGCTGCGAAGGTTTACTAAGTGCTCGCCGCTTTGGTTATGTCATATCTTCCTGCAAGCCTTTTGTACATTTTTAAACAACAAAAAAAATATTGCAGCTTGGCCCGTTTTCATAAATGGATTTGAAATTTTTTGAAAAAATTTACACTAATATGGTTGCCTGTTTTGACCTTTGTAGGATTTAAATAAACAGAATAAAACAGGTACTTGATGTTGAAATTAAGGAAAATTTATACCTTCCCGTGAGCTCACTCAGATCGGAATATTCATCGGCATTGCAGTCCGGAATAATCGTCTCAACCGGCCGATCGTCCATAGGCCGGGGAGGGGCGAGTTCTTGAAAAGGTTTCGTGTAGGAAGAGGGATGAATGACGACTTGTTGTGCTGGGGCGTGATTGGGTATAACATTAACATAGTCAAAGTTCCGGCGGCCATATTGGATTGGTTCAGGGGTGGTTCGGAGTGCCGGTGGGGGTGGTGGTTGGGCTCCAGTGTGAACAATAACAGATGTTCTCTTGGCTTCAAACCTTAAGCAAAAAAAAAATAAGAAAATAAAACTAAATGTTTTTCTAAATGTTCATTAAAAGTTATATAATTTTCTTTACTACGAATTTCTCACGATTGCTATAAATTCTGACAAGAACCGGCCAACAGGGTTTATTTTAAGATTAAATCATTTTCGAGGCTCTGGGGAAAATGAAAAATTGGATATGAAAAGGCAAGTTTTCCCCTTTTTTAATATGTTTTTAACCAAAATATTCCTTTCCCTCAAAAAAAAAAACCTAACCACTTAAGGGGTGGGGGGATTTTTTGAAAGAAAAATTTATCCCTAAATTCTATTTTACCTGTGTGTATTGGATACCGAAGATCCTTTAGAGTATTGTAAATTAGAGACGGGCGATCCTATCGAACTTGGCCGGCTACTCGGCCGCCGAAAGAGGAACTCATGATGAGCCGGAGATTTTATTTCAGCTGAACAGTTTGCGATTATTGAGATTGCAATAACCAGAGGTCGGAATTAATGAGTTTGTAAGAAATAGTTGAACTAGATAAGGGTCGTCAGGCTTCTTAATTGCTATGTGTGTCAGAGATGTAGCTGAGCTTAGCATTAGCTAGTTCAAATACCCCTTATTCGCTTTCTAGCCTCAGATTTTGATCAAATTACTTTGAGTTCCCTGGACGGTTTAAGGTTCTGTAAACCAAGTTTGTATCGTAAACTGTTGGAAAGGTGATATCCCTATTAAAAATATATTTGTAAATTGTTTTACTTGGCCTGGACTGTAATTTCAAATGGCCCTTAACGCAAAGATGGCAATGCCTGATTCGAACAACGGTATCCTTAAAAGTCTTCTCTGATCAATTATGTGCAAGATAAGATAGTTCGTTTTCCAAGGTTTAAAGGTGTTTAATTCAGATAATTCCGGTATTTCTTCCTGCAATAGAAATGAGCAAGACACTTAAGTAAAGAAACCACAATTGAAAGTTATAAACATTGATAAGGCTGTTATGGGTACGGTTGTGCATCGGGCATTGCCATTTATGCATGGTGGGTCACCCAAAATTACGCTTTCAGTTCCTTTCACATTTTTAAATCAAGTTCAATAATCATAATCCTGCCTGACAAAGAAAGATTTTTGCCGAGAACTTCTCTTTCTTGAGATTCAAGATCCTAAAACAAAAACATAAAAAATACAAAATCTTTTTTTTATTCAGTATTTCGACCTTTTCGTAATATTAGTATATTCAAGTACAGAACTTGTGAACTGGACATATGAATACATTAATATTATTTCAAATCTCAACCTTATCCGAAATAACTGTATTTATAGAGGCCAGGGTAGGGATACTGCTAGCTTGACTGCAGTTCTCGCGACACCTAGAACAGAATAAAAATAAATTTACACCAAAAATTAGTTTTTTGCTACATTTTCTCTTTTCTTTAACTTCAGGATCATCTGAAGACAATATATTAATGAGAGCATTTTTCGATTGTATTTTTCAAGTTGGAATGATTTTTGCTGAAATACCTGCGTTTAGCGTACTGTTCTGCGTATGTTGACGTCGAAGTATCTGACTGCGTATCCTGGAACCTCAAGTGAAGGTCTGAATATATATTCTTTTATTTATACCTCGTTAAAGGGAGTGTTCGCAAAAAATGAAAGGGGGTATAGGCTTAATGCGATAAAAAAGCGCTTTTGATCGCCACTAATTTTACTTCTATCTGTTGCGTCTATAAGGAGAAAACTGTTAAAGACGTCTCATAATGAATAACTTAACGCCCATACAAATTGAGAAAATTGCAACATACTACTTAGACCGTAAAAGTCAATTTAATTTTAAACAAATCATTCAGATATTACAACTTATAGTCATCGATTGTCTTTCGCCACATTTGTATAAAGTTTATATTTTATAGTATTTTATTTTTTTTTTAAACGTTTTAACGGATTAAAAAAAATGTGAGTGGTGTGCGGCATTCTTAGAAATTCTAAACATATTAATCAAAAAATATTATAAAATATAAACTATATACAAATGTGGCGAAAGATAATCGATGACTATAGGTTGTAATATCTGAATGATTTGTTTGAAATTAAATTGATTTTTATGGTCTAAGTAGTATGTTGCAATTTTCTCAATTTGTATGGGCACTAAGTTATTCGGTATGAGACGTCTTTAACAAGTTTCTCGTTATAGACGCAACACATAGAAGTAAGATTAGTAGCGATCAAAAGCGCTTTTTTATGGCATTAAGCCTATACCCCCTTTCATTTTTCGCGAACACTCCCTTTAAGGTGGTTGGGATTTCGGGGAAATGACGGTGCCATGCCTGGAGACTGGAAGCTACCCCTGTCCCTAGTGTCAAGTGTGTAAAGTGTACACCATTTCAACTTAAGTTTTGACATCAAAAGCAATGTTTCGACACTTATCAATATTTATCTAAGTATTTTGATTGGGCATTTTATTTAAACAAATGATTTTAAATGTTTTAAAATTGCTTGTAATTTCTATCATAGCGCTGAAATGGTTAAAACAGAGAAGGGGAAGGCTCTCCACCACGCTGGATATCGGTCGTAGTACTTCAGGTGAATTGAAACGGGGATTTGCAGGATATACTGTTTGTGGATTTTTTTCAATTATGGTTTTATGGACTACCTCGTTCATCTTGGATGGTTTGAACTGCCTCTGGAACACTGAAAAAAACAACATCTGAAAAATCGATTTATCTGAACTTTACGCCACTGAGTCCCTCCCAATTGATTAAAATGAAGTGGTTGTTTTGAAATGGCGCCGTATAAAATATTAAGGGATACATAATGAGTATAGATTTCAAAATTTAAATTAATATGGAACTGCTAAAATGTTTATTTCATGGGTCTTGAAACTACAATCAATCAATCAATCAATCAATCAAGCAATCAATCAATAATCAATCAACCCCAATTTGTGAGACCTACAGCACAAACTAAATATTATCACTATTTATCAAGAATTAAGAAAACGAAATAAATTCTATTTTTAAAATGGTGAACTCCTTCATTTCCCCCATAAAGGACCCTCCATGCATGGTAATGCCCGATTCACAATGATATCCTTGAAAACTTACTCTGATCAATAATATGGAAGATGTTATCGGTATTCTAGGTTAAAAAGTAGCGTATTCTGTATTTTCCTGCAGTAGAAATGCGAAAGTTACTTTGGTAGATTGAAAATAACCAGTTTTTAAAACTATAAATATTTATATTTAATTGATAATTAATCAGATAAAGTTTTGAAGTTTTGTGCGCATCAATCATTGCATGAAGAGTCAATCAAAATACGTTTACAATCCCTTAATAATCTTACTTTTGAATAAAGCACTGACTACAGGAGGACTCTTCGACCAGTAGACATTTCCGACATTTCTTGTGTCCGCAGTCATCTACTATCAACCTCTAAATAATTCAGGGGTGAATATTTTCTCAAAAAATCATTTCCCCCTCCCCCTTTTTAAATCACATTTACTCCCAGAAAGTATGAATGCTTACACAGATTTTTTCAGGATTTTATTCGCTGAATTAGGGAAATTAAATGAATTTTGATATCCAATATTTCAATTTTTCCCCCAAAATAAGTAAAAATCACCCCCTGAGGGTGGGGGGTAATTCTGACAAATACACACCCCTGAAATAATTCTTACTCTGCGTGATATGGCAAATTCTATTAGCAAATTCTATCACAGTTTTTTAGAAGCTACTAACTTTTAAATAACAGGAAAAGTTTAACTCATTATAAATTCCACGCAAAACACAATAGCAGGGTTCAATCAAATAATGGTTTACCAAGAATAAAAAAGGATTAAATATGTGAGAAAGGATTAAATATGTGAGAAAGGATTAAAAATTTGAGAATAGGATTAAATACCTAAGAATAAGATTAAATACATTAGAATAGGATTAAATACCAAAGACTATGATTAAATATCAAAGAGTAGGGTTAAATACCAAAGAAAACGATTAAAAACACAATTAGAATTGAACAGGATTAAATACCTCAGAAAAGAATTAAGTACCAAAAATAGGATTAAGTACCAAATAATAGGATTAAATACCTGAGAAACGGATTTAATACCTGAAAATTTGATTAAATACCTGAGAAACGATTAAATACCTTAGAAAATGATTTTAATACCTAAGAATACGAATAAATACCTGAGAAACGATTAAATACCTGAGAAAATGATTTTAATACCTGAGAAAATGATTGAATACCTGAGAAAATGATTAAATACCTAAGAAAATGAGTTTAATAGCTGAGAATAAGATTACCTGAGAAAAGGATTGAGCTGATGCTCCGCATCCTGGGCATGCATCGCAATCCGCCATTTTGCATTTTAACAGGATTTTGTCATTTCTGGAATTTTTAAAAAATAAAAAATAAAAATAACGCTCAGAAAAGACAATAATTTGAATTAGTTTTTCTTTAAACTTCTCGATTTACAGAAACAAAGTTTAAGAATTGTTTACTTAATTACTTGATGCAAGTGTGTGGTGTATGATGTATCACAAATTTTACAATTTCTTTCTGTAGAAAATAGGATAAAAAACAACGAAATGAATATTTACAGTTTATTTTATGCTTTTTTTCTGTTTTTCTTCAAATGTAGAGTTTTTCGAATATCTCGGTAAAATTAAGTTAAAAAATAATAGCTTTTTATAGCTATTTTAAGAAAGTAAAATGCCAATTATGTGTAATTTTCTCTAAAAACCTGTAAATAAATTATGACATTCTGAACCAAATATAGATTTAAATAATTAAAAATTTAAAGTTTTGAATAAAGAAAAATCAATTAAACTCCCCTTTGCAGTTGGTGATTAATGTGCCTTCAGGTTTCAGGTGGTTAGTTGTTAAGTCAATTTTTGTTTTTATCTCCTTTCGGAGTCAAAATTTTGCATTTGTTAAGAAAAGAAAATGTATATTTTTACTGTTTTTTTTCATAATGTTTATTATTTTATACTATGCCAAATTTTGACCTTAGCAGATGTTATGTGCAAAAAAAGACCAAAAAATTATCCAAAAACGATGCAAAAACGAACGTTACCATCGTTTTCGGATCGTTCTGCTCTTTTTTAGTTTTAGGTAAAAGAAGTTTCTAATAAATATTTTCTAAAAACGACGATTAATTACACTATCTGCAGTTTGAATATGTTTTACTGATCCGTACATCTAAAAGTTCCTAGCTTGTATCTCATTAAATTAGGATTTAATTGAAAAATGACATGAATTTGAGCCCACAGTTTTACAGTTTACATTTTAATCAGAATAATTAAGATATAAAATTGATAAAAAAAAACTTTAAAATCTTTAGAACATAATAAAGAACTATATAATTCTGATCAAATGTGAATATATAAACATAAAACATATTCACGATTTCGACAGGGGTGTATATTTTCAAATTTTTTTGAGGTGTATATTGGACGGTAATGTTATATTCTATACGCAACATCCCCCCTACTCAACTTCAGGCCTACTAACTTTCCGACCTACTGCAATATTGGACCTACGCCAACTGTTTATTTTTGTTATCTGAGGGTTGGGTAAGGTTAAGACAATTTCTGGGACGAGCGCTGCGGCTAGGACAGGCTAGGGGGCCGAGTGCCGCGGCTAAGACAGGCTAGGGGGCCGGGCGCTGCGGCCACAAGTCCGTATAGAAACTTTAAAATCACGTGCTAGTATGTCAGATGTGTAGTACAGCGGATTAGGCGTAGGTCAGAAGTGGAGTATTGCGGATTTGCGTAGGTCGAAAAATAGACCACCAAATTGGACGTCAAAAGGCAACTTTTTTTATTCTCTTAAATACTTTTTACGCACAAAAATCATTTATTTTCCCCATTAAAACGAATAAAACACTGAAAAAGCAAGCAAATAAACTTCTAGGGGGGGGGGGAGAAATTTTTTTTTGAGAAAATACATCACTTGCTTTAGAGTCAATTAAATTTTGGCGCTAATTTTTTTTAGACGACACACAAACAAACACCCAGACAAACAGAGATGAACTTTCCAAGAGACCGTTTAATAGTTCAAATGAACAAGATTTAGAAAAATGAGAAAAAAAATGTTCATTTGAACTAATTTTTTAAATTTTCATGATTTTGACAATTTTCAAATTATAAGTTTAAACGAACACATTTTATAAAAAATGTTAAAAAAAATTTATTTAAACTACGGTTAAAATTTTCATCATTTTGTTACAAGTTCCAAATAACTTCAAACGAGCATTTTTTCTATCGAAAATGTTCATTAGGATCCTAACGCTCAAACGCACTAAAATTTTCAAGAAAATATTTAGTCCATTTCAGGCGCGTACACAGGGTGGGCAGTATGTTCTCTTGCCCCCAAAATAATTTATAAAACGAACAATTTTTCTATCGAAAATGTTCATTAGGGCTAACGTTCAATAACACTAAATTTTCCATGACAATATTTAGTCCATTTGAACAATTTATCTGTGGAAAATGTTCAAAATAAATGCCATAAAATAGCAGAAAGACTACACCAATAATTAATTGCAATAAAAAAAATTGGCGGAAGAGATATTAGCTTTCAATGAATGTCGATTTTGTTCATATGGAATAATGTTCGAATGAACTACAAACCGGTTTGTCAACAGCTGACTACTGCAATTGTACGTTAATCCAATTTCGGCGTTTAGTCCTATCGATAGAGCATTTAATACTGATTACTGTCACATCACTGTAAAAGTACTGTGAAACGCGTCCTATAGAAAAATGTTAAAACGTGAAGGAGGAATCCGTGGAAACTACATGTATTGTAATCAAAATTTAAAAAGGTTTCAATGTAATAATAACCCCTCGTCCTCCATCTGTAATAATACATAAGTAAAAAAGCAAGTTAGATTTTCAAATTATGCTTGTAATTATACCGTGGTTTTCACAGAGCTTGATTCTGCAGTAAGCACAGTCTAAAACTAAAATTACCTCTTACAATAAAGGCACAGTCTCAAGCAACGCGCTTGACAAGCGCCTATCTCTGTGTGCGTATCTCTATATTTAAAGTTATATAACCGTGCACCCGTCTGACCCGATCTACCAGTCCAGTTTGAAAGACTAAGATATTATGGTGTACAGTGAATCTATATTTGTGTACACAGTGAACTTTGCAGAGAAAGCTGAAACAACGCAAAATGAAAGATAGTAAATGAAATATATAGAGAGAAAACCCTTAATAAATTATGTCAGGGATGTCAGGATCCTACTGATCCTACACAAGGGCGAACGAGGGGCGGGGGGCGGGCCACTCGGCCTCCTGCGCGTGCCTCCCATGTAAAAAAATACTTTAAAATCTCACTTTTTCCTTTAACAAAAAAGTTTCATTAGCTTTATTCTATTACTGCCTTCATGATTGGTGTAAAATCTTTGATACAGAGCGTCCCATATCATATTAGATTATCTCCAATCTTTAACGCCAAAATACGCACATAATACTAGAAAAATCTAGCACTTTCTGCAAAAAGAAAATTCTATTAGCCTTATTAAATTTTTCAAAATGATTTATTCTTCTTAAATTTTCTGATTTGTCCCCCAAATCGTAATTTAGACCCATTGACGCGGTCTAATTTGATGTGGGACACCCTCTATCATTATTTATAATTATACAATATGTCTCGTTCCTATGAAAATAGATCCTTAGAAACGTTTCCATTTCTATTTTTCACCCATTGAAGCTTACGCCACATTTCAATTCCCATTTTGGTGAAAATTGCAAACGTGAATTCGGTTTGTTTCATTTTTCAAGAATGCCATTTGGCTTGAAAAATATGGGAAAAGCACCATGCCATGTATTAAAACTTTTACAACTACCGTTATTTTGTAAGAAATGTTTTTGTTTCTGCGTACAGTTGAAATTCAAACAACTTAAACTTTTTTATTATATGAAATATGTGAAATGGAATTTATTAAAAGTTTGAATAATATAATTTTGAAAAAAAATCCGCCTTGAAAAAATCTAATTTGTTTAGCCTATGTTAACCCCAGGGTACCCATGGGTTCCCTAAAAAAATGTTCAGCCAAATTAGTTCTGCCGTTTGGCCAGCTATATAGCTAACATATAATTGAGATGTTCGCAGCTCAGTGGCGTTTAAATAAGGGGAGTTCTTGGCATAGAGAATAGAATATATAGAGAGGAATTAACTTCGAATAAAGTGTAAAACGGCCATTTTGTTGTACTGTTTCCCTACTGCAGGTGTACTTCACATATTTATGCTATATAATCTGTTGGGCCCTGGAATATCATTTTACAAAAAAATCTAAAATTATTGTTAAAAGAAAACCAAATTATGAAATAGGCTGGTTTCATAATTGACCAATACCCCCCCCCCTACAGAAACCTTATTTACGCCCCTGTCGCAGCTTCAAAAGGTTGAATACGATTTGTGAAAATATTTCCAAATTACATTGTAGAGTCATAAGTTTTTATATTATTCTTGGGAGAAACTGCTTTTTATTTTTAATTCAAGGTAAATTAATAGCCCTGAAATATGAAGGACAGCAATTGATATATTACACTCGTTTTTCAGCGGCATTTGATCTTAAATATAATGAGAATACGACATTATAAAACACTCTTGCTATGTATTCATATATCTGGAATTAACTGTATATGAGCCAAAATTGCTATAGAATTGGTCCCACATATCAACTCTAGGGACAAAAGCACATATTTTTTATCAACATATATAAATAACCCTTCAAAAATTAACCACTACACATGAGTTCATTTATGATTTGAAATATGCTGTATAGAATAAAATTTGTGCATCTAACTTGTGTCAGAAAATTTTATGAAAAGAACTGAGAATAATGAGTATTGACCTAAACAACCGATATTCTAAATTTATCACTAATTGTTGTCAATATTCTACCCAACCACCAGCCAAGATAATTAATTATTCTTTTCAAAAGTTTGTATAACTAGTAGTTACTACTAGCAACTAGTAGTAACATATTAGTAACAAGTAGTAACAGAAGTAACTATAAGTAGTTTCTAGTAGTTTAACTACAAGTGACTAGAAGTAACTAGTAGTTACTATAGTAACTAGTAGTTACTAGTAGTTTCTAGTAGTTACTAGTAGTTTCTAGTAGTAACTACAAGTGACTAGTTAAGTAACTAGTACTTACTAATAGTTACTAACTTACTAGTAGTAACTAGTAGTAACACTGATAATCCAATTGAGATGATTAACTAACGGTAACTTTACAAATAAACAGAAAATACTGTTTACGAAATGAATGTTCATTCTTACCTTTAAAATTAACTGCTACATAAAATTTTTTTTCAAACTTTGGGGACTAAAAGTTGTCTAATGGCATGACAAAAGTTGGAACGTACCAAGCTCTAATTGTGTTTACTGTATGTGTACTATACTAAGAGAAGACAAAAGTTGGAACGTACCCAGCCCAATTGTGTTTACTGTATGTGTACTATACTAAGAGAAGACAAAAGTTGGAACGTACCCAGCCCTAATTGTGTTTACTGTATGCGTACTATGAGAAATCCATTTTTGTAGTGAATGTTTTTATAATTACATCACTTTACAAATAAACCAATTATTTATGCCTATAAACATTGTTAGCTGACATGTTTTTAAACCTAATCTGTGTAATAACTCAATATTTCAAATAACAAAGTTTTTAATACTTATTACTTAACCCTATCACGTGCAGGCCACCCTGTTTTCCACCCCCCTCCTCTATTGTTTTTTTCTCTGCAACATAAAAACGGCTGATACCAGAGCGTTTAAACTTTATCAACTTCATAAAGATAAAAGTTTAATTTTTTTAATGAGCTGACCTTAAAACGTTGGAGTACGGGCATTTATCACACAGTCTTATTTCAACCCTAAGGTCAATATCATTGGAGGGGTAGAAAACACCCCCCCCCCCCCCGCTCCCCGTCTATATTAGACAAAAAATAAGTAGAGATAGGGTTTATATTGGATCCTCCAGTTAACTGTTTACTTACAGTGGACACTGGACATCAGGAGAGTAAAATATAATTTACATTTTCAGGTTTACATGAAGTATTTGGCGCAATTATATTTTTAATGGTTGAGGAAAGATGACAAGTTATTTTATTGTATGCCCAAGAAAATATAGTTTATTTCTTAGTATTTAGATTAATTTGTAGAATGTAGATTACTTAAAAAAAATACCTTTTTATGTACAGAATGTGCACTAGTGTACACATTTGTTTAAAATTGAAATCATTCTTTATAAATGGATATTTCTTTTGGACTGCAACTACAGGAAAAGCTCGATTTAAACTTTTAACCCTATTGGCTGGGGAGTCTGAATCTATGTATAGCCTAGGGTGGGGCGTTCAAAGCCCCCCCCCAAAAAAAAAAGGCCTTAGAGTATAGGTATAGGGGCGAAATGCATGATCATAGTTTTATTTTTCAAGGCGCGCCAGCTCAAATTTGGAACAATAACTTTAATAGTTTAGGTGCTAGGAAGGGTTGAAAAAATGCAAAAAAAGGGGTAAAATAAATGTAACATTTATAGTGTTTTTAAACAGATACCAAGATGTAGAGTTTGTAAATTGCGTAATTTTCCCCCAAAAAATGTTGAGCAATTGTAACTTTTGATTGATTTAATTTTCAGTTATCATAGACAAAACTTGGATGAAAATTATTATTAATTAACGATTGATAAATACTGTTGTGTCGTGGTTGAGAATAATTAAACAAAAGTGTTACAATGTATTTGAATCGGAAAAGGTCACATTTATTTTTATCAACAACTTTTGAAAAGTTGAAGTCTTGTAACTCCTCAACTTGATAAATATTTTTTTCAAATAGAAAAAAGTGTAGAGGATAAAATAATTTTCTAGGATTTAAAAGCAAAAACTACATTTGCAAAAACTACCCTGATTTTTTTGTAGAGCCTTGAAGATCTGAAAGCACAATAAATGGCAAGATGATAAATTTAAGTTTACTGCTATCTGTGTTGGTTCCCTTTACCCTGGCTGATATGAACCACTCTCAAGTACTTGAATTTATAAATAACCTAAGCAGAATCAAACCAGATCTTCTTAAGCCAGGTAGATAGATTCAGAGCCTGCAATTTAATAGATTCAGGAAAATACGACTCAGGCTTAAGCTGTTGTCCAGAATTTTACAACTTGGGCTTTCGGATTTAAGTTGCATCTAATTTGGCACATCAGATGTAAGTTCATAAAAAACGGGTTTATATTGTTTTTGGCGGATTTTCATGGTTGGAATTGGCGCATTACATGTCATGATGAGAACTAGACTCAGCATAGAGCCTAATTTTCCACTAAAATCAACCAAGATGGGTTTCATTTTTCATTGGGCCTAACTCCTTAAGTTGATCCTAAGATCTCGCAGCTGTCAATCACATGGCACAATTTGGTCAGAGTTGGGTTTAAGATGGGTCTTAAAGCTGTGTATAATCAAATCTCTTTGGAATTGAGTCTAATTGTCACAAACTCGAATTTTCTAATTACCATATTAAAGAAAATTCGAGATTCAGGCAAAGTCTCATTACCTTAGTGAAGAAATGATGTAGACTGTTTCAGAAACCCTACCTCAAAGTGAATTTACACTTTGGTTTATCTGGTTCTGATGTCATGAGTGTACAGTGTAAACTACATAATTCCATTCTCACCTCACAGTCTTATTATCATTTAAACATTTTCAAATCCAAAGATCATGCTTGACTTTGATAATTCTTGATTTTACAGTGGTGAACCTGGTTCTTTGTGATGAGAGTGATGAATTGATTGCTGGAGCTCTAGATTTTCACTACTCAACCCATCCACACCTAAACATTAAACAAATGCTGGTACACCCATACTTATCAATACTTAATGGACCCGCAATTCTTTCAATAGTTTTATGACGTATTCACAATTGGTGCAATTTAGAAAAGTTTATTGACATGTCTAGCAATTTTTGAAGGTTCTCCACCAACTTAACTTTATCTGATTACCATTATAAACAGAGGACAATGACTTTTGCAATACTAAAAAGCTGACAGACAAAAACAATTCCAGAATATGAAGATGATTTATCAAATCTTTATTCATACTCAAAATATCTAAACTACATAAAATATCTGTAACATAGCTTAGCCACCAAGTATAAAAAATACTGTTTCAAGCAATAATTATTCATGCATCATAGAACCAGTTCAATGGAGTTGGTGAACTAAGCCAAGCAATATGCATTAACTTCAAACTACTTTGCATAGCTTTAAACTTAAAAATTTAAAAATTTAAACATTGCATGTAGGGATGTTAACGTTTTCATTTTTCAGAAAAACGATCGTTTCGTTATGAAAACGACGACGAAAAATCGAAAACGAAACAATCGTTTTGAAAACGAAACAAAAAACGACTGTTTAACGATCGTTTACAAAAACGATTAACAACCCTAATTGTATGTTACTAATGTTGAATTTGAGTCGCATCCCAAATCCGCATAAAACCGGTTTCAATTGCACCGGCCTGAATCTTGAAACATATAATAAAATTTTAAGTGGAAGCAACCATATTTGAGCAACATCTCAAATTTCGGCCGCAAGCTAAAATTTTTAAAATTCGGCCTCAAGTAAAGAAAATGTAATAAGAGACAATTAAATATTTTAGAATTTAACTAGTAAAAATCTGGATGATACAACATTAATTTTTTGCAAGATTCCAATTCAGGTAATAAATACTTAATTGTAAGAAACTCAATTTCTAGTTTCTATATCTTACAGTATTTCATCTATGTGCATGTAATTATCCTGTTTTTTAAATAAACTTTACTGTAAATTATTCCTGGTGTTTTGTGATAAATCTTATACCATATAATTTCAGGAAAAATTAATTGTAAATGAAGCATTTGCCATTTTTCCCGCTTCTGCTGAATGGGTTGTTTCAAGGTAAAATCCTAAACTATTCTTCATGAAATATTTAAGCTATTCACCTTTTTCCTGACAGTGTTTGTAAATATCATAATAAATTTTATTAGTATCCCTAAGGTCATTACTGAAAAACAGTAAAAACTAGTTCTGGATGTTTCTGTAGTAAGGTATAGCCAATAGAATTGGCAAGGCGAAACAACCATAATGTTCTGCAAGAAGCATATTTAAACCCTTTCACACCATGGAAGAAATGTAATTTTGGGTGGTTAAACCGAGAACTTGATAATTGGCCATTTACCTTCAGTGCAGGAGCACCTATATTGAATATTGGACATTTATAGTACCTGTTGAAGGCCAAAAAATCAAAAATTTAATTAACTTTTTGTCTAATTTGCAAGATTTTTTTATTTTTTTAGGTCATATTTTGTGAGGTTTTAAGAATTTTTCTTACTTTTGATAGTAATTAGTTCTTGGCATTCTAGTGTGAAGCCAACAATGGACTCTTGGTGAAAAAGGATTAATTGAGTGAAGAAAATGTTGATTTATGAAAACCATTTAAAAATAAGAACTTTCAAGAGGGTTGTAGATTATTTTTCTAATTGTTCTATTTCAAATAATGTGATTCATTTTATGATTCCATATTAAGCATGACAGGGACCGGGAATAAGTCAATTTCTGATTTATTCCTCTAAGATTCTTAGCAACCAGAAGCAACAAAATGTGTACAAACACTTTCTCATTTTATGCTTTCAGGTTCATGATGGAAGGAGAAGAAAACAGGAAATTTCTGGTTAAGAATAATTCTGAAATATTTGAAATTATAACTCTTAAGGTATGTTAGACAATACATGCATCATTTCACATGTTAGTTCACAACAGTTCCTCTTGAAGTATTATTAAATATCCAATAAGTGATATATGCTAATTTTTATAACCCCAAAAATAATATTTTTTTATTTCTGTCCCTTGATTCTGCTGTAAAATATGCTTGTCACATTTGCTCAATGGAGGGGAAATGCAAGACGCACCAATAAAGCCTCCATCCCGCAATGAGCTCACTGCACTGCACCCGTATTGCTTCCTGTCCACACCCATTTGTCTGTCAGTAAAATATTTTGACCATACCTGCTGATGTTGATCTTCTCTAAAAATGTTTGCACGCAAAGCTGCTTTGTTTTTGGTTAAGATTACACTTCTCTCTGCCTTTAAAACATGTTAAGAGAAGATCAACATCAGCAGGCATGTAAAAAAATATTTTTTTTCTGAGAAAATAAGCATTTATAGTAATGACATTTTGCTAGAAGACTTTCTGGCGCAGGATAGGGTTTCCTGCAAAAAAAGGAAAATTTTTTGCAAAAAATTTTGCATTTTGTTTGCTTGCAAAAAATGCCAAATTTTTCCCTTTTTTCATGAAATTTTGCTGAAAGCTGTTCCAAAATTTATCATTTTTTTTGCTTTTTTTCTTGAAACCTTTCGTTCGCTGCAAACCTTAGTGCAGACAGGAAGCAATAGAGGTAAGCACATTGCCCCAACTCCATGTTAATGAGTCAATTGCAGGATGGAGGCCATACGGGTGCAGCTTTGCTTTCCCCACCTCAATGTCAATGCTAATCTTCATGAAGGGAGGGACTCTAAACATTGTATTACTAATATGCAAACTCTATTTCAGTCTGTGGATGACAGTATCACCTTGCAGTTACCTATAAATCACCCAGCAGAGGACACTAGGGAAGCTCAAACTAACCTTATAATATAATATAAGTTTTAACACTAATTGGAATCATGAAAACAATGAATGCAAAATTCTGAAAAAAATTTGAACTTCATGAATACAGAATTGATTTGAATGGCATAATGTTAACTGTAGGTTATTCTGACTCAACAGTATTGTCCAGGTTAATATTTAAAAAAGTAAAGCTGAAGATTTAAAGTATTCGCCAAAAATTAAAGAATTACAGACTAGACTGAATCCAGATCAAATTTGTATTAATCAGCAACCTAATAATTAATATCTATACCTGAACATTTGAAAATTACAAAATGATGTGGATCATGTATTTGTGAACACTGTGAAATTAATGTGACTTCTCTGTTCTTGGCATTCAGTAGTTTCAACCATTTCCAATGTAGATCTAGATGTAGATGTTGTGTAGCTACTTAATTCTTATCTGATTCAGATTCAGCCTATACCCAGTTTTTTCAAAACACCTTTTGATGATTCTATCAAAACAATAGGATTTATGTTTCTCATAACTTATTCTAGGAGGAAGGATGACAAACTTGAAGGAAAAATTGGCGCAACCTTCCACGCGATGAGCAAAATTATGAATTTTACATACAAGCTTGTTCCATCAATTGATGGCTTCCAGGGGTCAAAAGTAATGACTTAATTACCAAAATCTCTAATTTTGTTATTTAAAATTTCTGGAGTAAAATATTTCTGCTAGGTTCCTGGGGGAATAAAACACAAAGGAAAAACTTCTGTATTCAATGGATTAATTGGTATGCTTGAGAGAAAAGAGGTGGATATTGCTGGGTCCGGACTTTTTGTTACATTTGATAGAACACAGGTTACTTTCAGTTAAAAGAACTAAAATAAAAGAACTAATTACCAGCCCCAATATGTAAACTTATAATCCTTATATCTTTGCAACCAGGATAAAACTAATGATTCTGCTGATATAAAAAGTCAAAATCTGAAAAGATTTTACCATTAGATGGCAAAAATATAGGTACTAAGTACTTTGTAATGAGTTATAAGTGAATAACTTAATGAGATCTATGGGTGAAACCTCTTATTCCTTTATTGGCTGGGTGAGGGGGCATTTGACGCCCATCTCTCTCGTATTTGCCCTTTGCACTATCACCTTGCCTTTACTTTTCTGGAAAAGTAATTTTAAGGCTTTTAAGTTAAAAACATTTTGTTATGCATAGGTTAGGGAACAGTACGGTAAATTGTCCGGTCTGTGTAAAAAAAGAATATAAAATAGCACATTACTTTTTTGTGACTAAAGCAAAACAAAAATGTTCTATAAACTTTCTAAAACTTTATTTGGCAATTTCTTCTAATCTTCCTAGAACACAAACTATTACTATTCTAATTATGTTTTCAATAAACTGACCTTGAAAAAATGGGCTATGAACATGCATTGCAATAAATATTTTTATTCAGAGGGTTTTCTATGGTGTGGGGGGCATGGGACACCCCCAGGCTTTACATAGATTCAATAAGTGAACTTTTTATCCACATAAAGACCTTTTTATCAAATCATTTAAATTTACTTCTGTGTAATTCTCTGTGTTTAGTGTATTGTTTACCATTTACGGATTTGGACATAATGATAGTATTCTAGATTGCAGATTTTGGAGGAAGCATTCTTCGGCTGGATACATTTTGTTTCATGTCTAGACCTGGAAATGAAATTGATTTAATGGCTTTTTTTAAACCATTGAACCCGGTAAACCTAATATAAGAAAAAATTTTAGTTATGGTGATATGCATTGAACATATAAATGTCTGTAGAGTATTTGGGCGTGGGTTTTCTGCTCTGCGTTGGGTCTAACTTTGGTTCTCTTTACTCTTTCCTACATCACTCACAATGAAACTCAGGTGCTTATCAATCTTTTGTCATCTTATATTATTAAATATAGTTAAGTATCCTGTAGAAAAACAGTTCAATCTAAAAAAAACAAATAGCGTATGTATGTACAAGAAAAGCTTGATATAAATTAGTCATATTTACTTGAACAATTTCACATATTCCAAAACTTTTCCAGCACAGTATGTCTACTCCCAAGGGCAGGACAATTCAACTCTGGCGTCAGATTTTGGCTAACAACTTGGCCCGTTGGAGACGTAAAAAGAAAATTCTTATCACTGTTCCAAATCAAGAACAAAATGAACCCACAAATATTGTAAGTTTGATCACCAATTAATGCATAGCCATTATACACATTAAAACTCATGGTAGTTCATAAAATGATGAATTTAATACACATTTGAACTGGCACCTTACACTTGAAAACTTTATTATCTTTCTTGGATTTGTTTCAATCCTGTCCTTTGTCTTTTTACCTGAATTTGTTATCAACATAATATTATCTCATTCAATCTGCACAGTCTGGGATACTACAGATATGGCTGGGCGTGTTCCTACTATTTTTAATTGTTCCGCGTTGTTCTTGTTGTTCTCTGTTCATTCTTGTCAAAGAACAATCGTTCCCCAGGAACAACACCCAGCCCTTAAGCTGGGTGTGTTCCTACTCTTTTTAAACTGTTCACTTTTGTTTGTTTTTCCTGTGAAAAAAAAACGATTTTTACCCGGGAACCACACCCAACTCTAACTTCACATCTGTTCTCACTCCTAGCTTCAGATGTCTCCAGAAAAGTGCTGGAAAAGAACTTTTGATTTCAGCCTTAGCTTTATATACTTTAAAACTTTTAATCCCATAAACTCTGACATGTTTCCAATATTTAGAGAAGCATGATTGCGTACCAATCTGATCTATGCATTCCTTCCACTAAAAAGTTAATAAGTCTGTGGTAAATATGGAACCTTTTCTAGCAATCTCAGTGCTGAATAACTTAACTCCATGTTCAAGGCTGCAAAGTAAAATAAGGCATACAATTTTCCTTTCTTTTCAACAGAAAATATTGGAAATCTGTTACTGATCCCTTTCTAAAGGAAGTAAGTAATTCTTTAAAATATAAACCTCTGACAAGTTATGTGTCTCATCCACTGTTATATTGTTACACTAAAACTTAATTAATGCATTGTTAACAGGGAAGATGCGTTGACCTTCTGAGTTTCTCATTGAGAGCACTAGGAGCTGTTGAAACCTTCCTTCTTCCAGAAACCAGGTTGGTAGATCATTAAGTTTTAAAAATCATTAATCTGTCAGCAATTAACATTAAGAAAAAAATGGCTAAATCAGGTCCATATAATTCCATCTCTGATCCTAAGGCTTGAAAATACACTAGTGTTTTGTACACTTTTCAAAGGTGTTTGTGTATAGTAATGTTTACTACACTTCAGAAATGTTTACTGAAATCGGGGTGTTTGGGGCAGTAAACATTTTGCATTGTTCAATAACTTTACATTGTACTTTAATTTGGTTGTGAACCCCTGGGATAGTTATGCCTATGCATTAATATATTACAGTAAAATTATAATACTTAATTTCTAGGCCACTTTTCCTCTTTCTAGTGTATATATTAGCTTGAGCTTGAGTTTTCTAGGTTTAAGAAAGCCTGGAGAATTTGCATGCTGACTTACTTAGTTCTGGGATTCTTTGTTGTAGAAACATACAAAGCAGAACTAACATCTTATCTCACTAGGAAACAACATTAGAAAATAACTTACTAAATAACTTCTTACCTCAAGCCTCAGCATCTATATATAAATTTGGCTTGTCTGTCTGTCTGTCTGTTTGTTTGTTTGTGACCAATAAACGTCAAAACGGCTGAACCGATTGGGCCCAAATTTTTGGGGCAACATCTAGGGACCCCAGGGAAGGTTTATGAATGATCAAAATTTCAAATATTTGTCTCCATCAAATTTCGATCTTCATTAAATTTTTGAAAATATTGAAAATCCACGAAATATTTTGTGAAAATCCGCAATTATTTTTGTTTTGTTTTACGATGTACACAAAGATAACATGTTCACAATTAATTTCGAAGATAGGCTAGTCTATATATAAATTTGGCTTGTCTGTCTGTTTGTCTGTTTGTTTGTTTGTATCCAATAAACGTCAAAACGGCTGAACTGATTGGGCTCAAATTTTTTTTGGGACTTCACGTGACCCCAGGGAAGGTTTATGAATGATCAAAATTTTAAGAATTTGGTTTTAAAGTTATTTATTTTTGAAAAATTTTGAAAATGCGCAAAAAATATTATGAAATCCGCAAACTTTTTTTGTTTTTGTTTTATACTGTACAAAGAGAAGATGTTCAGAGATAAAACCACTATTAAAAGATTAAACAGAAGATGGGCGCGAAGCGCCCTAAAAGCCTAGTATTACTAACTATTCTTCAACAATTATATTGAAATTCTTATGATTTGGAACACATTTTAGTTTTTCTTACAGGACAGTAGGAGTAGTAGCTGAACCCTAAAATCTTTAAAGAATCTTTAATACCCCCAAGGCGTTGAGCCATTAGCACAAAAATTTATTGTATAATCCCAAAAATTTTGCAGCCCAATGTTGTAGACCTTAGATTCTTCAAACTATGAATTCTGTTAGATAAAATCATTAAAGCTTGAAATATCAAAGGTTTCCACCATCAGGTTATTTTTGAGTTTGTGGTGAAAACTTAATTTCTTTCGTTTAACAATTAAGCTAAAAATGTATTTATTTTCAATATTTACACATCAAAATTCTAAAGAACATTACCACGAGTCCACTGATAAAAATTCAATATGTATAAAAATTCTGCAAGGAACTCTGCTGGCATGGTTCCAACAAAGCCTAGTTTAAACTAAAAAGTATTTTTAAAGCACTTCTGGGGTGAATATATTAGTTATTTTTCTGTCTTGTAGTAAAACTGCAAAACTACCAATCCAAAAGATGGAAGATATACTAGGTAAAATTAAATGTAGTGCTTAAAGACGTAAAAATATAATTTAATTTTAAAACCAACAAAAATAAATATTAAACAAGAATGAATAAAAGTTGTATCAAGATGAAAAGCCAACATTTCCAAATCAATAAAAAGCTATGCAGTCTGTGCAATAATGGCTTGGTAACTTCTTAAATTTAGCTTCTCAAGTTGTCCTCAAGGTTAAATAAGGTAATAATTAATGAAAGATATTTAATGTTTTGCCCAATAACATTAAATCAAATGTCTAATTTGATTTTTACAATAAAAGAGGCTTAAATTGTTTCAAAAGTTTCCATCTTAATTACACAAACTGTATCTAATGTTTTTATATGTAATTATTTTTCCTCTGTATGCACAACTAGTGTACATTTTAAACATCTTAGCAGGGCCAATTTACAATTACTAAAGCAGCAGACCTGCGTCTCTTGTCTGCTATTCTGTAATCAAAACTATTGTTCTCTAGCACGGGTCCATTTACACCACTCTTGTCTGCTGTTCTGTGATTAAATCTATTGTTCTCTAGTGCGGGTCCATTTACACTACTCTTGTCTGCTATTCTGTGATTAAATCTATTGTTCTCTAGCACAAGTCCATTTACACTACTCTTGTCTGCTATTCTGTGATTAAATCTATTGTTCTCTAGCGTGGGTCCATTTACACTACTCTTGTCTGCTATTCTGTGATTAAAACTATTGTTCTCTAGCGCGGGTCCATAATTACACTACTCTTGCCTGCTGTTCTGTGAATAAAACTATTGTTCTCTGGGTCAATTTACACTACTCTTGTCTGCTATTCTGTAATTAAAACTATTATTCTCTAGCACTGGTCCATTTACACTACTCTTGTCTGCTATTCTGTAATTAAAACTATTATACTCTAGCACTGGTCCATTTACACTACTCTTGTCTGCTATTCTGTGGTCAAACTAATGTTCTCTAGCATGGGTCCATTTACACTACTCTTGTGCTATTCTGTAATCAAAACTATTATTCTCTAGAACAGGTCCATTTACACTTATACTCTTGTCTGCTATTCTGTGAATAAATTTATTGTTCTCTAGTGCGGGTCCATTAACACCAATACTCTTGTCTGCTATAAAGTGAATAAAACTAGCTATTGTTCTCTTGCGTGGGTCCATTTACACTACTCTTGTCTGCTATTCTGTGATCAAAACAATTGTTCTCTAGCGCGGGTCCATTTATGCTTCTCTTGTCTGCTATTCTGTAATTAAAACTAAATTTTTCTCTTGTGCGGGTCCATTTACACTACTCTTGTCTGCTATTCTGTGATTAAATCTATTGTTCTCTAGTGCGGGTCCATTTACACTACTCTTGTCTGCTATTCTGTGATCAAAACTCAAAAAGAACTTTTATTTAAGATACAGACATAAAACTCTCTCTTCCATCAGGGACATCATTTGTGTCTAGACTGCAATTTTCAGAACAGGATAGTCGGACATTGTTTTATTATATTTTAATCTTTAGACCTTGATTATTCAAGAACTGATTATTTATTGTAAACTATACTTTTCTAATTTTGATTGTGTAAACTTTTTGTATGCGGGGGGGGGGGGGTAAGTGCCCCCCTTGCACTCTTCTTTTGGCACCTTGAAATGTTTTGACTTTGCACGCTGTTTTATATTTCAAAAATTTGTTATTTACTTTCCGGGAGTCACAGAAAATAAATTTTTGTGCAATTTTTAATGCATATCTTTTGAATGTTGGTTAATATAATATTGATTTAACATATTTAAGAAAATACAACCTTACAGATAATCAACAGGATTAGTATAAATTTAAAGAAGCCGAATTTATAGAATTTAAGCCAGGGCTTAAATATGGTTTTTTTCCTCTTAAAATTGTATTCAATTTTTCAAGATTTAAGCCGGTGCTTAATTGAGACCGGTTTTTGATGAATTTGACACGCGGCTGATACTCATCAAATTCGGACAAAAGATACATTAATTAAAGCAATAACGGGAGTGACCGGCATTGTGTGGTAGTTGAACTGAGAATGTAATATTGTGGAGAATTTTTTTTCAAAACTCAATAATTATACATTAATATACCGTTTTATAAGTCTCAAATGAATCCTAAAAAATGTCTCCAAAATTATTCTGCAAATTGGCATCATACATCTGATGCATGATTTATTGTCCATGGTTTATTATCAAATTGTTAAGAATGAAGGCTTTTTAGAATGTAGTTTTTCAGCGATTGTGGAAGGAAAAGGTAGGTTTAACATTTGTCTAATAATTTTTGTAATTCATCTTAAACAATTTTATCTTATCACAGATTTTTATCAAGTTGCCATGTTATCTTCAAGTTCACTGGATCAGACCGACAGGCAAAAAAACCTATCTATATATGTATAGACTGGGCTTTAATTCAGGGTGCGTCAAGCCCCTTTTCTAGTGACAATACAGCGTCAACAGTTGCTCTGTAACCTGCCGTTTTTTTGTAAATCATGTTTTGCAGATTTTTCTGGGCAGACATTTTTATCTTTATTATTTGTAGGTATATGGTCAAGAATATGGATTAATAACCTGGGTTCAGGGAGATTTTGACAATATTTTGAAAGCTGTTCGAGTGAGTAATACCCCTGCCATTCTTGATCAGATAGATTTGAAATATAGGATCATTTAAAACTACATGTATAGTTTAGGGTTTCCATTCCAGCGAAAAGGGTTAATCACTTTGCGAAAGTTTTGCATTTTTCAGGGTCAAAAATGCTAGCCAAAGATTTGTATTTTTTGGCATTTTGTTGGATCGCGAAAAATGCAAAAAAATTTGCTTTATTTTGTTTTGCGAAAATTTCGCAAAAAAACGGGTATTTCAGCCATTTTTCATGAAACATTTAGCAAAGTAAAGGAAGAGAAATGAATAAATATGATATAATACAACTTCTAATGCTGAGCTCTCAGAGTAGAATCCCACAAGTTTTTTTTGTGCAATTAATATTGCAGCTACAACACTTATTTTATTTGCAAAAATTTTGCATCATTTCTGCATTTTTTGCTAATTCATTTTAGTAAAAAATGCTAAAGTATGCGAAAAAGTTTGTGAAAAACAAACCAAAAATGTTTGCATTTTCTTGCCAAAGTTTGGTTTGCTGGACACTTTAGTTTAGTCCTTTTAAACTAACTATGTCTAATGTTTAAGAGCAACTACCTTGTACTTGGTTACGGTGATGAAGCTGAGGCGTTCATGGGTAAGCATACAGTCATAACCAAGGTTGTTTATCAAGGTTGGATACTCTAGATGTGCTCCAATTTAATAGAAATGTCTTCAAAGCAATGGAATCTCATAATCCTTATGTGCAACGTAGCTGATTGCCGTCGGAGGATTTTCCATGCTTGTCATCTTCTGCCAATACTCAATGACGACATCATATGAGGATTTTGAGTGTCCATTGCTTAAAAAATGACATATCCTGTTGGAGCGCATCCAAGTATCTAACCTTTTTCAACATCCTTGGTAATAAACAGGAAATAGTGGAACTCTTCTGAAAACTTTTGCCTTGAGAATATTTGGATCGAGCATCTTATGCAGACAGAGTAATTTATTCCTCTTCCATATTCTGTGATGGTTCATAAACTACACAGGAATAATTGTCGTTAAAGGGAGTGTTCGCGAAAAATGAAAGGGGGTATAGGCTAAATGCGATAAAAAAGCGCTTTTGATCGCTACTAACCTTACTTCTATCCATTGCGTCTGTAAGGAGAAAATTGTTAAAGGCGTCTAATACCGAAGAACGTAGCACTCATACAAATTCAGAAAATTGCAACATACGACTTAGACCGTAAAAAATCAATTTAATTTCAAACAAATCATTCAGATATTGCAACGTGCAATCTATAGTCATCGATTATCTTTCGCCACATTTGTATATAGTTTATATTTTATAATATTTTTTAATTAATTTTTTATATTTAATTTCTTTAGAAAACGTTTTTAACGGATTTCGAAAAATGTGAGTGGTGCGCGGCATTCTTAGATAGTTGCGCAAGCAACAAGAGAAATAATCAAATTCAGAACAAATTAGTTAAACATATTCTAGCTGAATACCCCTGTGTATCAGCTATAAGTTCCACCGATTATATCGCTTATATTTTAGCTGCATACCCTTGTGTGTCAGCTAGGATAGTAGTTCCACCAATTATATCGCTTATATTCTAGCTGAATACCCCTGTGTGTCAGCTAGGATAGCAGTTCCACCAATTATACCTCTTATATTCTAGCTGCATACCCTTGTGAGTAGGCTAGGATAGCAGTTCCACCAATTATATCTTTTATATTTTAGCTGCATACCCTTGTGTGTCAGCTAGGATAGCAGTGCTACCAATTATATCTCTTATATTATAGCTGAATACCCTTGTGTGTCAGCTAGGATAGCAGTTCCCCCAATTATATCTCTTATATTCTAGCTGCATACCCTTGTGTGTCAGTTAGGATAGCAGTTCCACCAATTATATCTCTTATATTCTAGCTGAATATCCTTGTGAGTCAGCTAGGATAGTAGTTCCACCAATTATATCTCTTATATTCTAGCTGCATACCCTTGTGTGTCAGTTAGGATAGCAGTTCCACCAATTATATCTCTTATATTCTAGCTGAATATCCTTGTGTGTCAGCTAGGATAGTAGTTCCACCAATTATATCTCTTATGTTCTAGCTGAATACCCTTGTGTGTCAGCTAGGATAGCAGTTCCACCAATTATATCTCTTATATTCTAGCTGCATACCCTTGTGAGTCAGCTAGGATAGCAGTTCTATCAATTATATCTCATATTTTCTAGCTTAATACCCTTTTGTGTCAGCTAGGATAGCAGTTCTACCAATTATATCTCTTATATTCTAGCTGAATATCCTTGTGTGTCAGCTAGGATAGCAGTTCCACTAATTACATCTCTTACATTTTAGCTGCATATCCTGAATCGGGCTTGTCCCAAACCCTACTGCTCCAAAACTAAAAGTATTCATTATTTTAATTTACTCCACTCTGTCTCTGTATTCAAGGAATCGCCAACCACCATGCACAGTATCTGGTATATCTCATCGCTCAATAGTACAGTCTAAAAAAGAACAAATAAGAACAATTTTTTGGGCTAGTTTATACAGTCTGAAGACTTTCTAGTCCGCAAACTAGTGTCTGTAATTGTAAATATGTAATATATCACTGATTTTATTCCATGACCATAACTTGTACATATATTGTTATCATTTAAACTGTAAACTACTTTGAAATATACATTATTATTATTATTATTATTATATCTCTTATATTCTAGCTGCATACCCTTGTGAGTCAGCTGGGATAGTAGTTCCACCAATTAGATCTATTATATTCTAGCTGAATACCCTTGTGAGTCAGCTAGGATAGCAGTTCTACCAATTATATCTCTTGTACTTTAGCTGCATACCCTTGTGAGTCAGCTAGGATAGCAGTTGATGCTACTCTACCAACACAGACAGGAATTTATCTGCAGAAAAACTCACCATTCACACCCTTTTTCAGGTTAGGTCATTCTCAGCAATTATTACTTATTCTTATTTAATTTTTCTTTTAAGATACAGGTTGACTGTATTTTTGGGACCCCCTGTATCTCAATATTTAACATTGTAGAGACTCTGTTCTACACAGACCAGACTTTTTTCCCCTGCACTCTATCCTATACATTAAAAAAAATGTTACATAAATCTTTTAAATTTCTAATCATAGGAAGTCGCACAATTTCACTGTGAGAGTGTCAAAGCTGAGAGTCCTAGTACAAAAAAACTAGAGGGGGGGTTGTTGTTTAGGGTTAAAAAGTGTTTAGAGCTAAAATATTAATTAGATTTTAATTTCAAATTTAGTTTTTGTAAAAAAGTTTTTTGAAGATAAGGGCATTATTTTAGTAAATGACAACATTGTTCTGAATGATGGTGTTTTTAACCATCAAAACACAATCAACGAGGGAATGTGATCTATAAGAGAATTAGCATTTGATTTTTCTTTAAATGAACTAAATTAATTGAACGAACAAAATTAATGAATGAACGATTTTGCTGAACAACTATCTCACAGCTAAAGAATGATCTGAACAAGAAGATTATATTTATCACTTGTTAAGTTCAAATCAAACGAAATAGATGGAAAGTTTAACAACAATTCTGAGAATAAACAAAGTCAAAATTTTAGTGAAAATACAAATTGTTTGACAACCTAAGATTCATTAAATATAATAATCTTGAATATCATTGCAGGAAACCAATAGAACAAGCAAATTAATTCAATTAAGTTCATGTTAGTTTTGTGAATATTATTATTATTTTTTTATTTTTTCCATTGATATTTGTTATTCTTATCCTTTTTATTTCTGGCAAGGTTGAAAAATATTTAGCATTTATCATGTGCTGCATGTTTTACAGAAAGCAGCTTCAAGTAATGAAGGAAACTGGAGTTGTTGATACAATCATTGAAAACAGTAAAAGGTGAAATTTTGTTTCATTCTACATATTTTGTTGTTCTGCAAATTTACTCGGAATTTTGTAAAATAAAATATTGGAGCTGTGATTCAGTACTAAGTTACTAACCCTATTATGCTCCGACATATAAAAAAACTGAATAAGTTTTTTTTAATTTAGAACCAAGGGAGACAATATCTATAATGTTGAATATCCGACAAATGTACAACAAATCTCCCCTATCAAAATAAAGGCAAATCTGACACCATTAATACAAAATATTCGATGTCAAAATCATACAAAATCTTTTCTGTCAGAATTAAGGTAGAGCCTAAATTAGGGCTGGGCGTGGGCACATTCCAACTTTTTCTAACCATTTAGTTAATGGATAGTTCCAAGCATTGAAAAAAAAAAAATTTTAGGTAGTCGTGAGTTTTAAAGGGAAGATGGGAATGTTTGTTTCTCTAATGGTATTTTCAGTTTTTTTTTTAAGTTACCGGTAGTTAAAGATCTCAATTTTATTAATTACGTTAACGGTAGATAAAGTGCCATTAATGGTAGATAAAGTGCCATTAACGGTAGATAAAGTGCCATTAACGGTAGATAAAGATCTCAATTTTATTGATTACATTAACGGTAGATAAAGTGCCATTAATGGTAGATAAAGTGCCATTAACGGTAGATAAAGTGCCATTAACGGTAGATAAAGTGCCATTAAAGGTTTTTTTTTGCTATTATTGGCATTAGACGTTCAGAAATCTTTGTGAAGCATTTTGTCAAATTGTTAACGGTGCAAGCCCTTGATGGTTCTTTGTAGTATTTTGGAGTTTGCCAAAACTCCAAAATGTCCATTAAAAAAAATCTTTAAAAGTTTATCAAATTGAGTTTATCACACAAGCCATCACCAAATGGCAAAAAAAATTTAAAAGTTCTATCATATAAATTTTTTTTACTGTTGCGTAAGTTTTATGCAATTTTAGCCGAAAAAAAATAATGAAATTTGCCGTTTTTTAAAATCTTTCTGTTTCATTTTCTTTTTCAACTATTAATTTTTTGTTCAAAATTGGCTACCCCGTTTTGTTAATAATTTAAAAATTAACGTTTTTTGCCATTCATTAACTTTCCAGAATCTCTTTTTCGTTAAAAGAACTTTTCCCAGTCCTAGCTCTAGTGGCATAGCTATAGATGTCCGAAGGAGCATCTTCTCAAAATCTTCGCCAATGTAGAGTGGAGATGAAATAAATGTTACATGGGCATGACATGTTAAAATCTAAGGCTCAAAACTAAATGTTTGAACCTGATAACCAAGTCAAAACAAGTATTATACACATGCTAATTTTGTTTGTTTTGTCAAGGGGAACTCTTGAAGCTGGTACTTGTAATGATTCTAATCTGATACTTGGGATTCAGGTTATAATATTTCACTTTTGCAACCTAAAGAGACTATAAGTGTAGTTGCAAGTGACCCTCCATGCAAAGAGAGCAATACCTGATTTACAATGGTACCCTCAAAAACTTTGTCTATAATCAAGTATGATCCTTCATTTTGCCCTTAGCAGTGCTAATTTAGATATTGATAAATTGCATTAAAAGTTCTTCAATGAGAAATAAAGGAAATGAGAATCAACTATTTTTTTATGGAATATGCATGCAGTGACACAAGTAAAAGTTTGATCTAGATAAGTTTGAAAATATTGTCAAATTATTTAGTATAAAATTGAGATTTAAAAAAGAGTGTATAATTTTACATTTTGAGAATTTGTTTATTTTCAGAGTACAGTTTTCCTGTTTGTTGTGATTGGCATTGGTATTCTCTTCTCTAGTTTTATTTTTATATTGGAAATGATAATATTTGTTGTACAGAATCATTAGTAAACTGGCTTTTACTAGGCACAGACAATTTGCTTTTAATATAACCTGAGTTTAATTACACAGAAAGTTTTATGTTCTGGTCCCGTAGCTGAAAACTTTAGAATGGTGGATATCAGGATTAATGCTTGATCCTCTCTTTTTGATAATCTCAAGATTAACATAATCTTGCAAAATTATCTTAAAAGTGTATGAAAAGCGATAAAATTCAAATTAATATTTAATCATCTGAGAAACTGTAGCAGCCAATCAGAGAAAAGCGGGCAACCAATGAGAGAACAGAAATATTCTCATTGGAGAAAACAATTTACGGATATCCTAGGAGAGAGAAAAAGAGTGGATTAGGACTAAAATGAAAAGTTTCCACAGTGGATATTCGGATCAAGAAGTCAGGATTAAAGTTTATCCATTCTAAAGTTCCCAGCTCCGAGTGTAGGGATTACGGGAACCTGAGTAAGTCGTATCCCTATAGGTTAATATACTCCAACCCACCCACCAGTTTTAACTCCAAATTCAGGGGATGGTTTATTTCTGCGCTAACTATTGTGCTAGTGAAAGGTAGTAACAACTTTTGAAAGTTTTTTAGTATTTGAATTCGGGTTATAAAAAGTGGTCACTTTTAATGGCAAATTGATGAGGCCTAGTTTTTGCATAGATACTCAGAGTAGATCAGAGCTTATACTTTCAACCTCTTGAAATAATGATTCAAAGGTTTAAAAAGAAAAAATAATTAATTCAAAGTTATTTCTAAATTTTCATCTTTTCTGAGTAACCAGCAAGTACAAGTCACTTATATTTTGTATGGCTGAGTATATAATAAACATAAAAAGTATTGTTTTCTGAGTAACCATCAAGTACAAGTCACTTATATTTTGTATGGCTGAGTATATAATAAACATAAAAAATATTGTTTTCTGAGTAACCATCAAGTACAAGTCACTTATATTTTGTATGGCTGAGTATATAATAAACATAAAAACTATTGTTTTCTGATTAACCATCAAGTACAAGTCACTTATATTTTGTATGGCTGAGTATATAATAAACATAAAAATAACTGTTAACTGAGTAGCCATCTGAAATAATTCAAGTAGTTTTTTTCTAAATATCAAATTGATTAATTTAATGTTTAAAATAAGACTAACATTTATTAGTATAAGAAATGAAAATATAAAGAAAACAAAAGATTTTTCATATACATTTCAATTTTGACTTGTTATCTGTTCATAAAAATCATAAAAATATTTAAAGAGACATTCTTTTATTGTTCATTAATCAATGTATTAACTAAATCACTGTAACAAACTGGGTGAGTAACACAAGTATCACAGGCCAGGATGAGAGATAAATACAAACCTTCGTCTTGATTCAATAGCCAAGAAAATATTAAAATTTTATATTAACTGATATAATAAGTTAATGGTAATCTTTTATAAAAACGATCGCTTCGTTTTTAATTTTTCATAACAAACAGACCATTGGTTTTAAACTTTTAAAAAACAAAAATTGAAGGGTCGTCGATGGTTGTTCAGAAACTTAAAAGTATGAAAAATATGAATTCATGTTTGGCCAGGGAAACTTAAATCTTTACCCTATTACCCCTGAAGTTTTTTTAGACAGAATGAAAAGGTAAAATTTCTGCAAAATTACTGGCATGCCTTGGTGAAATCTTAGCTTCTAGCTAGTAGTCTTGATTTACGCAGAAGTATGATTATACGGTTACATATTAGAAATTCAAAACATTTTAGTTCTTCGCAATAATTCATCAATACAGGGGACATTGCAAGGATTGTAAGGCAAGGAAAGTTATTTCAGAAGTGTACACATCTTTTGTACTGCAGTGTACTGTCTCTGGGGGTGGTAATGTAAACACAAGACGGATTTCGAAGCCTGAAATTGGATCCATCTTTCACATACAAAATCGATGAAATATTCTGGTCATAAAAAAAACTTTTATGTGAATTATCAAAATTTTCAAAATTTAATGCTTTTAACCTACTCGAATACTAAACGAAAACTGATGCATCTATTCTTGTTAACAAATTCCGCCCAAAGAGAACTGGTTTCTCAATATGTACGCAGACCATACACGA